CTTAATATTTTTTTCAATTTTTTATAAAAGTGCAGCTCAATATGTAACAAAAATCATATAAACTCGTATTTCAAACTTTGGGCGAAAATTATTAAAATTGTGCCAAGTTGTATCTAAATTGTCAAATTTTTAATAAGATTTTTAAAAATTTTTTAAGTATGAGGTCTTATAGCCCATTAAATTTCAGTACAGTTAAGTGTAAGGTTTAAGTTGCTTAAAAATCGCGTTGATTATTGGTAATTTCTCCCGCATAGTATAGTATGTTCGACAATTCTTTTATAAAAAAAAAGCGTAATAGGGTAAAAAAAAAATTGTTCAAACAATTTATACCTTACCTTTTATCATACTAAAACTTAATGCGCTGTTCGACTGCGAACTCAAAAAAAAAAACAAACACAAAATCTGTTTAAAAAGCTGAGAACAATTGGCCATGGGCGTATGTATATTAACTTAGTCAAACAAAGTTTTATTAAAAAAAGTACATATCTAACTCAAATTGAGACCGATAACTTAAGGTGAATATAACCATACTAGTTATATTAACATTTTCTAGTGCAGTCAAATATTTATTTACTTATGTGTATGTGTATGTATGAAGATTACATTAGTTGAGTAATTCACGAAAATGATAAGCGCGCTGATAAGGAGTTCCATAGCATGTGAAGAGAAGTCGAAGCTACATATGTGAAGATACATACTTGCACATAAATACATACCAGTATCACCCTGTAGTAAAAATTGGAGCGCTTCACTTTTTTCATAAAATTTTTACTTGCACTTTTACTACTTTTTGACCCATTTAGACTGAGAAAAAAATCGACCAAAAATTGGTTAATATTACCAAATTCAAACTTAAAAAGGAATTTAAGTGTTTTGGCTTAATATTATTAATGTTATTTTTAAATGATATTTCAATAATTAATTTGTGATATTAACCACACTTTTGTTTACAATAAACATATGCTTTTCCATAGTTAGGAGACACAAATAAAAATTTGTATTATCACTTTAACATCTTTATTCCGACGGGACTTTAACCTGGACCTTCTGCAAGATAACAAATAACAGAAAGCATCTCTGCACACTTAGCTATAGCCTTTCCGAAAATTTCTGTTCAAATGTTTAAATTGAATCAAATTTCTTCGTCGTTTGATTTTGTTCTACACTTCACAGATCCTTTTTTTTTTGTTATTAAGAAGAACCAAAAAATAAATTAATTAAAATGTTACATGTTGTCTCTGACGGCATTCAAAGCAGTTTCCAGCATGACAATTAATAGCAAACATATCTGCCCGTCTAGCTACAGCCAGGCGAACAAATGTGCTTTCAAATGTTCAACTTGAATCCCACTTCTTAAAAACAATCACTTGGTTGAAAAACCCATTGTACTTTTCGCTCAGTGTATATAGTAGTACTGATCTACATCATCGGTGGAGATTAAGTACAGTTAAAGCTGCAAGAAGATTAACTACATCAATAGTCACGTTCACTTCACATCGAAGTACTTAAGCGTGTTCTTTTCAGTACCTAACCGTCTAAGTACCTCAAAGAGCTGACATTTTCTGTGAGGTACCTAAGCGAGTTTTACTGTACACTTTCCCATGTCCCGAAATCCCGGGAACACAGCTCCGGGATCCCGATATTTTATTGATTCATTTACAGAATAAAAAAGATGTTGAAAACGAAAAAAAATAATTCATTTGACATGAAGCACGAGAAATAAAGAACGCCAAAATTTGTATGCAAAGGGAACTTCAGCCATTTGCACTAGGAAGTGAATTTCAGGACCTGCTGAATAACTGTACTTGTTCAAATATTTTGTGCAAGAACTGTGTAATAACGAAAAAATGTGGTAGCAATTGAAAACCCAACAAGCTTTTACAGTGTGGCAGAGTTGTTCTTCCTTTTACTTTGTTGGCCTGTTTTGGAAAAGGATTTCTACAAATAAGTGTAAATTTTTTTGACAAGTAATATATGTAGATATTTTAGAATATAAATATTTAAGCATCAAATTGCGTACTCTTTTACTAAGGGGCATTATGCTCCCCTTAGTCCAAGTGTGGTGACAATGAATCTGTGTGGTTTGAAAAAGGCGAACCTACTGTACAATGCAAAAAGTTGTGATGAAGTCGAAATCCCGAAAAATCTCGGGATCCCGTGATTAGAATTTTCGAATCCCGAAACGCGGAATTGTTAAAATGCTTCGGGGTTGTATGCTCTAGTATATATTTATGTACCCGAGACCAGCTTTAAGTACTAATAAAATTAGTTTACTTATTCATGATCCATAACAATTAGTGCAATTGAGTACTTACACTAATTCCTAAAATGACTTAGAGTAATTTCCACCAAAACAAGAACACACTCTTTGTGCCGGCAATTGTTGTCTCTATCGAGCATGATAAAAACATTACAAGGTAAATGCATTCTCTGAATTCGTCGGCCATGATTTTTTTTCTGACGTTTGCAAGCATTTTAAAATCATATAAAATTTAAAACAAAAAAATCTAATTGTTCACAATTGTTGTCGTTTGAGATTGAAAATGAGAATGCGTGTGTGAGTTTGAGTTTTGAATTTTTAAATTATATTGCTTGCAAACGCCAGACTGCCTCTCAATGGTTTTACCTTGTTATGTTTTTATCATGCTATCGAGTAGGGAATCCAATCCCGCATAAAAATCGCAAACCCGCAAGCTCCCTTACTCCCTAATTTCTGATCCGGCAAAATTTGCGCGGGATTCCGCATTTTCGGGATTGGATTCCCTACTTACTATCGAGTATAGTCTACCACACGATGCACAAAATGACCTAAAATAAGAGCCTTAATGCAGTCATTTATGAGGCCGATAAGAGCCTCAAAAAGAGTCTGAAATGATTTATATATGAGACCAAAAATTGTTTTAAAGAGTCCAAAAAGAGCCGCATAGGAGACCAAAAAGAGTCCGATATGACTCATAAGGTCGTAAGTCGACCTTCGGAGGAAGGGAAACACCTTCATATCAGACTTTTAAATGAGCTCATTATGAGCGTAAAAGCTCAGAAATAGGACTCCTTAAAGACTTATTTATGACTCCAAATGTTTACTGGGTAGTCATTGTATATGCTCTCGCTTTGTGTGCCGTGCGCAAAATATTGTTAGTGCAAATCTGTGAATATTCTTCAATAAATAATATCCACTAACACTATTTCTTGTGTTATTCAACCAATTACTTAAAAACACGAAAATTGCAGTTCCCTGGTATGTATATTAGGTTGGTTAAAAAAAAAATTTCTTTCCAGCCACCCCCAGAACTGAAGGCGATCGAAAATAAGGATACCCCTTTTTAACAAAAACTATTTATTTTAAGTGTTCATTACCATATCATGCACGTTTGAAATAGAAATTTTCGTCTATCAAAATGCTTTAATCAATATATATATTCTGTAACTGAGAGAAAATTCAGTGTACACCGAGTGCTTACAACCAAAAAGTCACCAAATAAAATGCTGTTAGTTTTTCAGAAGAGAAGTGTACACACAATTTTGAATGTTAGAACTCATTCCCACACTTCCTGAATTGCGAAATGAAGAGTGAGCACACTTTTCAGGTTGCACACGAAATCTCACCGTTACAGAATCCAGCCCCAGCTACGGAGAACAAAATGCTCGTATATTTATTTATTCAAGATAATTTACAAGAACAGAGAGAACTACAGACAGCCCTAAAAGTATAACAACCAAAATCATTAAAAATAAAGAAGACTTTAACTGCTATGTAAATCGAAAATTTGTATGAACTCTATAAACCTAATTATATTAAAATTGATTTTCACTTCGGTCAGTTTTCGTTAAATTCAAAAAAAAAAAAATTTTTCACTTAAAGTGATCGTGAAACTTGTTATTAAATACTCAAGTTAAATGAGCCCTCAAAGCTTCGAATCTATTTGTCAATAAAGTGATTAATAACAACTTTAATATGAAAGGCACAAATGTACACATGTACATATGTACTCATTTATGTACATTTATTAAATAAAGTATTAACTAAAGTTTTTATTTTATCGAGAAAATAATATACGTGGACTTATTTGTGTTGAATGTGTCATCTCATATTAAAGCTCTTTTAAATACCCAGTAGCAAAATGAAAAAAACAGTAAATGCGCTGGTAATACTAGCATAGATAAGTGAAGTTCTAACTCTATTAATTCATCACTAAGTTTGAACACGAGGGAGTCTTGGAAAATTTATAATTGAATACCTCGCTTACCGTAAAATATGAAATTATCAGTAGTACCCAATTTAGCGAAAGTTGTGACCTGATTGTACAACATCCAAGAGAATCGTTCTCATTTCATGTCCTTGAAATCATTAGGGCTGTTTAGGATCTTGTGCATATGCTCTTGGATTTGCATATTCGTTGCATTTGTAAATTCACAATAATCAAATGCACACGGTTGCCATGTCCGTAAGCAAAAAATTTTTAAATGCAATTCCCACTGCAAATCCAAGACCAATTCCACAACATCCTGAACAGCCCTATTGTAAATTAGAAGAGAAAAAATTAATGTGCAAATAAGTTGATAACTTTGCAATAGCGGCCGGTATGACAGTTTTAATGAAAATATAATTAGTTTCTGAAAAAATTTGTTGTTAAATAATTTATGCGAACTTAGCAATCACTTGAATGTTTAACCGAATAAAATAATGAGTACAAAAAGCATAATTTTTTAATAAAATTATTTCGTTTTTTACCATTTAAATAACTCGTTTACTTTTTTCCAATAATAAATTCTTTTGCTAATGGGTATGAGTACATACATACATATAGACATAGTAGAAGTGTATGTGTGCGTGTGCTTCTATAAAAAGTACAACGATAAGGCGCGAGCTTGTTTTATCATTCCCTCTCTGCTCCTCCTCTTCTCCGGACAACAACCCAAAACACGAACACATACACCCACACAATCTTTTGAGTACTACCTTTTCGCTCAGTGCTCTTTCCGTTCAGTTCAGTCGGCGTTTAACATTGAATATATTCATAACGATAACGGTTGCTGCAAAGCTTCATTGTTAATTAACTTTTGCCATTACTCACAATCATACATACTGCCATATATTTGAATAATTGTGTAAATTTAAAAAAAAAAATATTAACATACAAATTGGTTTTGAGTAATTCGTTCGCTAGCACGTTTTCGCGTTTTTTGTTTCTGTCGATCAAGTTTTTCTTCTCTAAAACTTAATAATGTCATATGATAATAAGAGTCAACCACCACCGTACTCCGCCCCACCACCCGGTTTCCAGCCGGCGGCCTATTATCAACCACCGCCAGCACATCAGATGCCACCACCGCCACAACCGCAGACTTCCACGGTGATCATAACAACAACAAGCCCGACTTTGGTGCCACTCAGCGAGGATCCAACGCGCATTCAGTGTCCCTCATGTCATGCTGATATTTTGACTACCGTAAAATATCAACCAAATGGATGTACTCACATTTGGGCATTGGTGCTGTGCCTATTCATGTATGTACATAAAAAAAAAAATATTTGTTTACTAACAGTGATGTGCTAAATAGTTTATTTTTTAAGCAAATAAGTGTAGTGAGAAACTTGAAAGAAAAACTTATATTTAGGGACACGAATTTCGATACGATACGATACCATATCGCTACTTTTGGCATTCGATACCGATATTTTTTACTCGATAGTTTTAAAACGATATTTTTTGGAATCGAGTACCAGAATCCTAGTATCGTATCGAATGTCAAATGACTCAAATTAGTCAGCTTTCAGACACGTCAAGTCTTGCTTTCAAGTCTGCTCGTTCCAAGGCGAAGGAGGTGAGAAGAAAGGGGAAGAGTGCAGATACCTCCCATTTAAAGAACCACGAACTTGAATTCAATAAAAGTTGACGCGTCTGGAAGCTAATAGAAAACACAAAAGAGAATGCGAAAAAATTCCTTTCAAGACTAATCTGATTATCAACTCTTCCCGATATAAATTGGGCTTTAAAGAACAGACATTTTTTACTATCGTTAGGATTGCATGTGGCGGGATTATAACACGTGTAAAAATAATAGATTGGCGCTTACAAATATATGTTGTGCCACAAATGGCGTTTTTATGAGAAGCTGGTTTTCGTGGCAGAAATGCCCTCGGAGGTTTCTAATCACTTTCTCAGATATTTCAATTCAATTCAATTTATTAACTTCTTGAGTACAGTAAAACGCGAGGTCTTTTCAATGTACAAATAATCCAAAAAAAAATTACAAAATTAACTTCAACTAAAATCTAATTAGATAAAGTACAGAAAAATATTGTGATGGTAACAACAATATTTAATTATAAGTAATAGTTGTGCAAAAAAAAAGCATATATATATATATAATAGATAAAGATAATATTTTAGGAGAGGAGTTTTAGGGAAGGTAGAAGGATTTTACTTAAAAAGACTTGTAACTGCCGCTTTGAAGCATCCAAACATTGTTATACATTTAATTGAGGTTGGTAAGGAGTTCCAGATTCTGACAACACTAACAAAAAACAATCTAGACGCTGTTAAAGTTTTATACCTAGGTACAATAAAATTATGGGTTCGAGACGATTGAACCAGGTTCAGTTTTCGGTAAAGATAGCATGGTTGTCGGTATCTAATTAACTTATACAAAAATAAGATGTTACGAATCTTCAGATAGCTCTCCAAGTTCGAGCCAAAGATGCTTTTTGTGAACTCTGAAATGTGGTCATACTTTCTTTTACCGTAAATAAATCTGGCTGTATTATTCAAGGCCATATTTACTTTGTTCTTGGATTCACTGTCCAGATTACAATAAACCATTTCGAAATACGAAATGTTGGGGACAATAAGAGACCGTACCAATTTAAGTTTTATGTTAGTTGGTAGGCAGTTACACGTTTGCCATAAATTCCTTAGAATCAAATATATCTTGGATATACAATGGCTAATGTGATCTGTGCAAGTTAAATGCGTATTCATTTTAAAACCAAGATTCGTTACAACGGATTGGAAATTCAACTCCGTATTGCCCAGCATTAATGACGGCAAACTTCTTAAATCAAGAGGATCAAATGATATAGGCAGTACCTGCGTTTTGGCAGCGTTTAAACTGAGACCGTTCGTTTTGGCCCACTTTACTATTCTACCAAGATCTTCATTTAACCTAAAAACTAAATCTTCACCTAGACCGATGGGACGCGAGAAATAAATCTGTGTGTCATCAGCATATAAATGAATACATGAGTTTTGGCAACAGAAAACAATATCGTTTATGAAAACACTAAAAAGAATGGGACCTAGAATCGAGCCTTGAGGTACTCCAGAAGTTATTTTTTTGCGACAAGAAAAGATGTCTCCGCATTGGACTTGTTGGTATCTGTTTGAGAGATAGTTGCTCATTAATTTGAGTGACGTTGAATTAAAACCAAAATAATGTTGCAGCTTTAACAGAAGAATGTCATGTCTAACCATATCAAAAGCTTTAGAAAAATCTAAGAGCACTAAAATAGTAAGTAACTTATTATCAAAGGCAGGACGAATGTCTTCCATAACTTTTAACAAGGCAGTAGAACAACTGTGGTTGGATCGAAAACCAGATTGGAACTCGCTCAAGAGACTGTACTTATCAAAGTGGTGAATTATTTGGGTGGAAATTAATTTTTCGAAAACTTTCGCTAGAGCTGGTAAAATGCTAATGGGTCTAAAGTCCCTTGGAGAGTCAGCTGAGTTGTTTTTAGGGATCGGAATAATATTTGCAATTTTCCATTCTTTGGGAAAGGTAGAGGAGGTTAAGGCATAATTGAAAATATGTGTAAGAGTAGGCAGCACATAAGGCAGAATTAGTTTTAGAAAGCGTAGACTGACTCCATCCACGCCGGTAGCATTTGATTTTATTGCAAAGACGCATTTTGCGACGTCATCTTCCGTAG